CCCTAACTTAGAGAACTACCACCCTAAACCCTAAACCCAAAACCCTGAACCCTGAACCCTATACCCTAAACCCTAAACCCTAAACCCTAAACCCTAACCCTACCATATCCCATCGGGAGCACCAACAGCCTCGGCCAGCATCGTCAGAGCCGGCAATGCGGCCGAGGCGGCCTCAGAGAGAGCTTGGTGTATCGTTAGGAAAAACCAGCAGATACTATATATATATATATATATATATATATATATAGGTTTAGGGTTTAGGGTTTAGGGTTTAGGGTTTAGGGTTTAGGGTTTAGGGTTTAGGGTTTAGGGGTTTAGGGGTTTAGGGTTTATATACTAATATGGTACAGTATAGTGTGTTATAGTACAGAATATTGGCATTGTTAACAAGAAGACTAGAAGATACTATAGTACAGTAGAGTATCTCAGTATGGTATGTTATAGCGTATCCTACTTGTAAACTAGAGTAGGGCTTCTTGCGATTCTTGGGCTTCTTGTGATCGGCTTCCAGATCTTCGCATTGCCGACTTGCGGGCTTTGGTCTTTTAGGGTCTTAGGATCTTGGGGCTGACGGTTTAGGTTTTAGGGTTTAGGGCTTGGGGTTTAGGGTTTCGGGTTAAGGGAGGAGGATCCCGGCAGGGCGGGTTGCTTTGTTTGGGGCTCTTGCTGGGAGGCCGACTGGGACTAAGATGCTCAACCTCTAAGCAGCTGAAAATAATCCGCTTCATGGAACCGGAAGCCAATGATCCTGGACTCTCTCGCAGCCGTGGCACCACGGCAGGGTTGAACTCCGATGTCTGGGCCTTTTGCAACGCTGGCAGAGGAAGAGATAAGCCGTTTGCTCAAATAGTTCGGACAGACTCATTGCTTCGGGCTAAAGTTGCGTCCAGCACAATCAAACCCTGCAGGTTAGATTTCGCATCGTAGCTGTGTCACTCCACCTACATGGGTCTTTGTGACCCAATACTGATCAGTTCTGCATGCCACACCGGAGCCGGCAACCAGCAAGCGGGATGAACTGGAATTGAAGCCCAGTCGCAAGCTTTAGCAGTTACCATCAGGTGACTACCACCACCCTCTCACACTTCTCTGCACTGCTGCTACTACAACGGCTACGTGCGTCTCGTTCGTCGTTTTCTTGCCTTCGGCGCCTGCCCCGGGCTGGGCACGAAGCAGTAGCGCAGGCCTCACAGCGACTCGAAGACTACATGCTGAGAAAGCCTCGAGTTTAGGGGACAAGCGAGGTTAAGGTATCTGCAGTCTGCTGTTGTGTATGTATGTATGTATGTATGTATGTATGTATATATATATATATGTTTATAGATATGCACCTACATTTTTATACATATGAAAATGCAAATGGATATGCATATGTATAAGCACATACGGATGAAGATGTGTTTGTGTACATCTGTGTGAACAGGTATGCGTGTGTGCATATATGCATAGTTCCATACGTATATACATATGTATGCAAACACGTGTGTATATGAACATGTGTCAAGCTACATATATATATATATATATATATACTTCTACATATATATATATACAGAGATAAATACACATAATATAGTAACTGTGATAGGCTACACCTTGGATCTTGGGGTGCTCCTGAGCATCTCAGGATCGAAGAACCTGAACCTCAAGTCGTCTCCAGCCGACGAGACACGGCCACAGCACAGGGCCACGGCTTCGCGTTCGCCTCCTTGAAACGCATCGACCGTTGCCACCTCGACGTCTTTCAAGGCACCAGAACCTCAGCAATTGAAGCCAAGAACTGGGGGCTTTAATCTTTTTGTTGCCAGTATGCTTGTGATTCATGTTGTTGGTTAGCAATACTGACAACAGCAAAGGTAGATAATTTAGGGGAGCTGGGTCGGCTCGACATTGCAAGATTGGGGTGCAGGAGGGGCCCGAATACCAAGAAACTCCCCTACATGGCCCTCTGCCAACCCCAGCATCACCCTGCGAAGAACAATGAAGCACCATGTATACCCTGTGACAACACTTAGGGGCTTCGGGTTTAGGGGTTTAGCCCTAAACCCTAAGCCCGAACCTAAATGGCAAAGATCGATGATCAGTTCAACACCAGCTGCAACTACAGAGACCGGCATTCGGGATTCATCGCAACGCTTCCCGGGTTCTGGCAGTGACTTCAGGGTTATGCTTGAGGGTGTGGGTTTTAGGGTTTTGGGGGGTGGGTTTGGGGTTTAAGGTTTAGGGTACAGTGATTGTCATCGGGGCACGATAGTGGTTCTATACCGGTTTAGGCTTCGGGCACAGCGTTTCGGGAAACCGCGAACTCGAACAGTTTATTCAACAAGTCATACAGCATTTCATCGCCAGGGGAACTCGTTTGCTATCCAATCAGCACATCTTCGCATGAGAACCACTACGTTTAGCTGTGGCTTCACAGAAAGAACAGTAACCTTGAACACCATCGAAACCCCATATCCTAAACCCAAAGCCTGAACCACCATCATCGCCCCGATAAGTGTTCACCATCATCATCGTCATCACACTACCTTGCCCCCCTTGCAGTACAACCACAACAGGAAGCGCCCGGGATGAACACAGAATGAGCACTGTGACAAGAGCACGAAGAGAAGCAACAGAGGTGTAACACCGGACTCCTTCTTCGGCAAGCCCAGTCACTTCGCACAGCCCTCCCGCAGGCGTCCGCATGGGGCCGGTAGAGGCAAATAACCCCAAAGTCCTGCATTCAGGACTCTCGCACGGTTCTGACAGATACCTGATAAAGCAAAATGTCTAGAAATGAACGCCAGCAAAATCTGACTGTTTCAGGCTTCAGGTCTGTAGGACTTGCGAATGATGCTCTCCCACCGCCTGAGTACCCTAGACCCTGTTAACCCGAAGCCTAAACCCTAAGCAGGCAAGTATGCGAAAGTCTGTCTGATGACTCCCCATCGCTAGAGCGAGGTTCGAATGATTTCAGAGAGTGTTGCAGCAGTTGTTACGGCGTCCGTGCGTGGCATAAACGATCGGATCATATCTTCGCGAACTCCGATTCTGGAAGAACCTTATAATGATGCAGCCCTGGTATGCCCAGTTACCGCTATAGTGGGGTTGAGTCCCTTAAACCCGTAAAAAACCCTATATAAACCCTATAGCAGCCATGACCCAGTAAGTTACCAAACATTTGACTGGGCTCTTAGAGCAAGACAGTGAACTTCCCTCCCTTAAGGTCGCCTTGCGTTAATGGGCTAGAAGATCCGGGTTAGGGATTTAGGGTTTAGGGTTTTAGGGGTTAGGGTTAGGGTTTAGGGGTTAGGGTTTAGGGTTTAGGGGTTTAGGGTGTGGAGTTTAGGGTTGAAGCTCCCGGGCAGCATCTTGAGATGAGGGCAGACCCCCTCCCAAAACCCGAAGAAGGGCCCAATTGAGACCCCTTGCAGACCCCATCCAAGGCTTCTTCAGGGGTCTCGGGATCCTTCAAGGGATTCAGGGATCCTTTTCGGGATCCATCTAAGGGACTAAGGAATCCTTTCAAGGGGTCCTTTCAAGGGATTCTATAAGGCTTTAGGGCTCATTGAAAGGACGCCTGAAGGAACCCGAAAAGATCGCTTGTAGGTGTTTAGGAGGTCTCGGGAGAAAAGCTTGGATACTTCAGCCCGCTAGAACCAGGTTTAGGGTTTAGAGCCTAGGGGATCATACGCAAAAAAAGGCGAGAACAAACAAAAAAGCCATCAGGTGCCCCTTCCCTGTATGTTAAGGTTTGTCCGGGGCTCCTTGTCAGACGAGTGACACACCCAAGCACGAAGAAAGCATCATGACGTAGTCTTCCGAAAAAACTATACACCCTAAATACGAGATTTCTCGCGGTGCACTTTCAGACTTTTCGCTGGGCTCTTGGGGCTCTACATCCTAAGAGCTCATGCACTGGGGTAAGGCCTTCGATGCATGAACTTGCAACTGAGACCCTCCATCTCTGAACCTTTTGGCGTTAGTAATTTAGGGTTTAGGGCTTAGGGCTTGGGGCTCAGGGTTTACACCCAACAGTAAACCCCATATCATACAGCACTAATTTGCAAAACGCGGCGCCTTTGGCTGCAGCCGCCCGCAGCTCGACGCCCGCTTCAGCCAAGAAGAGCAGAGCTGTGCCTCAGTTGAGGGTGAGACTTGGGCACTTTGTCCTCAACCCTTTTTGGGGTTTAGGGTTTAGGGTTTAGGGTTTCTCCCAACATCCTAAATCCATATCCGTAGCCCTGAACACTAAACCCTGAACAGCTTGACCTGGGCTGGAATCCTTACTGCGACCACGCATGCCGCTGATGCGTTCAGGCTTTCGGGGTTCGGGTTTCGGGCTTTGGCGCTCCGGTTTCGGGTTCAAGACTCTAAGCGTCTACCCCCCAAAGGGTCCCATGCACCTATATAGTAGAATGTAGGGTTTCTATCTCAGGACCTACCATTATGATCTAGGGAAGTATCCTCCATAAACGGTACATAGGACCCTTCGGGACCAGCCTATACAGCCAAGAACCCAACAGCAATCCCAACAGCCCCACCCTTCAAGACATCCAAGCTTGGGTGCAACTCCGCCCCATGCACATGCATAGAGGGGTTCTCGGAACTAGGGTCCCTTTGGGCTCCTTGCTTCAAGCCTTGTCAACAGATCCCATGCTCACGACTTACACATGGAAGTCACAGAAAGTCAAAAGGACTCTAAGAAATAGGATCAACCCCCAACAGACGCTTAGGGTACGGGGTTCTAGGGTTCAGGGCCCCATACATCACCTCGAGAAGCTACTTTCTTGTAGGCCTCCTCTAACATCCAAGCTAGATTAGGGGTTGAGGGTTTAGGGTTTAGGGTTTAGGGCTTATAGTAGACACCGGAAACAACGGACTCCAGCAGGTTAAAGCAAGGGTGATAACACAACGGACGGCTGAAGAATTCGGGGTTCAGGATTTCACCCTACACCCAAAAAGCCTACATCCTACGGTATAGTCATAATGAGGCATAATGAGGAACCTTCAAGGATCAGAGTGGTAATTGTATTATAAGCTTCTATAGTAATCTTTTTTGTACCCTTAGCCCTAAACCACCTCATCAGCCACACTGACACATTGCCAAAACTCCTCGGCATCGTGTCGGAAGGATTGGCCCACACGCGTCTCAGGACCTCCGAGATAGCGCGTAGGCTTGCTGAAGCCAGTCATAGCTTAACCCCTCACCCAACACACCCAAAGCCCCCAAACCGCTTGCCCCAAGACCCCTAAACCCGAAACCGAAAACCCGAAAACCTAAACTCCTGAACTGCATTCCCCAAGACACCTTAACCCTAGACTGAGACCATGTACTATAGGGCCTTTCATAAGGTTTCGGGCTCCTTTATAGTTAGTATAATTGTAATTATAGTTAGTATAATTGTAATAAGGAACCCTAAGAATAATATCGGAAAGTATGAAATTGAGGCTTCTACAGTACCGTCTGAAGAGGTTTCGAGGTTCAGGCTTCAAGCGTCCAGAGTACGAGGTTCCATGCATGGCTCTGCAAGACTTGCACTGCTTTCAGTGTAATGTAAGGACCTTATGAATTAGGGTTTGCGGTATATGACAATATCTACATAATTATACTGTAATTGTTGAGGCCCCATCTGTTGTGGCTTACGCCCTCAACTCTAAACGTCGGACTTCGAAGTGACATTGACATTGCCGCTTGATCCTTGCCCGCAGAACTTTCTCTCCCACAGAAGCAGGTCCTTGTCTCATGTCTGCACCCTTCAACACTCTCCAAAGTCTGAAGCCAATGCGCTTTTCCTTGGCCATGCCAAGAATCCCACAAGAAGACTCACCCTAAACCCTAAACCCTAAACCTATAGATCCTAAACACTGGGATCCCGCTCGAACTTGAGACCAGCAACCATACTAAAGCCCCTGTAAGATCCCCTAGTCCACCCTTATCAAGCCCTACCTGAACCCTACATAACTTCCTGATGTCTCTAAGGAAGAGCTTCTAGGCTTCTAGGGCCCACTTAAGATTCAGAAGACCCGATGCCTTCGCTAAGCACCACTGCCAGTGGCGCGGCGCCGGGGCCAAGACCAGAAGTCCGATCCTGCTTAGCAAAGCTTGACCCTACCCATAGGCCCTAAAGTATGTTCCTTTTTGGGGTTCATATATGGGAGTTTCCGAAAATTTCGTTACCTTATTTGGGGGTCTTTATAATAAGGACCCTACTATTTAGGGTACTATATTGGGGTCCCCTATTTTCGGAGACCCCCATATAGAATCCTATAAGGTAACCCCAACAAGGAACTACTATGGGGCCTATGGGTAGACCGTAAAACCTTTGTAAGGTTGATCCAGCCTAGCAACGTTTGACCCTAAAGCCTAAACCCTAGACCCTAAAACACCTGTTCGGTTCAGGGTATTAGGAGCTTAGGTTAGGGGGCTTAGGTCTTAGGCTCTAAGGTTAAGGGTTGTCATCGTCATTCATAATCAATCCAGTGCTGCGGTGCAGTGCAGTACTATCCTCGTGGTGGTTTCAATTTCTTCCGGTCCTTATGTTTTATGGGCAGCTTTGTGCGATGAGCACTTTGCTCGCATGATGTGTTCTTTACAGTTCCTGTGACTCTCAGCGCTTTGCAAATTCCTTTGACACAAGGAAGCCTGCCGAGGGCTTTCATGTAATCTCGGGGCTAAACCCTAAACCCTGATAAACCTCTAAACCCTAAACCCCTAAAGCCCAAACCCCAAACCCCTCAACCCTAACCCCTGGGTTCTGTCCCGGGGGTTCCGGGCCCCCTAAACCTCCAAAGCTACACCCTCAAGCCGAAAGCCAAATCCCTAATCCTTATGGAGCCCTTATCGGAACCCTTATAAACCCTAAACCCTAAACCGTGAAAAGAACCCCAAAAGGAACCTTGGCCCTAAAGGAACCCAGAAGCAACCCTACAGGGAATCCCAAAAAGGGCCCTGAAGCCTTAAAGCTCAGGGTTTAGGGTTTTGGGTTTGGGGTTTTGGGTTTAGGGTTTGCAATGGTCGCAAGCTTGAAGAAAAAGTTCGTAGCGAGGATACTTGGCCAATCCGGTCTTCCAGAGATATCTGATGGCTCTGCGTATAGCCCCCGGGCGATACTGATCCGGTTTGTAGTCGATCCAACGCCTGCCACTTGACGTCAAAGCTCGATCAATCGTCAACTGCGCGACTTTGTGAACACAGGTGAATCGCCAATCCTCCGTAGCTGCCAACCCGACATGAGAATGGCTTCACATTGGACACAGATACTGCCTCAAATTCAGAAGTGACGATCTTCTCGCATTCAGACTCCCAGCGCTGCATCTTGCTTCGTCGAAAGACTAGCATGACGCAAGCCGTACGCAGGGCGGCCTCATCGCCTTGAAGCAAGCCCAGCAACAGGTTGGCTTGCATACGAGCACCAACTAGCTTGGACATGTCAGATGGACAAAGGAACCCAGCATGAGCAGCCCAAGTAATGCTAAAAGCTTCAAGTTCCTCACGGTTGCTTGCGTTGGCAAATCTCACTAAAGCCGAAACAAGCTGCTGTCATGTCAGGCCTTAATAATTAGAATAGGGTTTTGGGGTATATTATACTATAAATATAGTAAGGAACACCCAGAATATGATATGTAATTATTAAGGCCCCTATATTATCTCCGAAGCCGTGAGACCAAGCTCAATAGGCAAACCTTAAAGCTTTTACAGAATGCCAGGCCCTAAAATCCGAATGTCAGACCCTAAACCCTAAATAACCCTAAACCCTAAACCCCTAAACCCTAAACCCTAAATTACACCCTTAAAGCCTAGAGTGTCTGAGGTTGGGAAGACGCTTTTGGGCATGTCCCGGCTCGGGCCTGCAGGAAAAAAAGCCTAGACCCAAAGGACCGACCCCTTTAAGCACAACAAAAACACTGAAATCAACACTATTGTACTTCGAACGTTCCCACCCTGCAGATCATGGATATGCGAGGCGTATACAAACTACTGTATAGTAAGCTGTGAACTGTATAGTCTCACGGTGGTCTCTGGGGTTGGGCACTCCGGGGAGTCTCACGGTAGTCTCTGGGGTTGGGCACTCCAGGGAACCCTAAAACGTAGGTTTTGGGGTTGAGGTAAACCCTTAACCCTAAACCCGAATCCCTAAACCCTAAATCCAAATCCCGAAACCCCAAATCCCTAAACCCAAATCCCTAAATCCAAATCCCTAAATCCCAAACGGTTTAGGAGTCTAGGGGTTTGGGGTTGCAGCGAAACGGCCGAGATTGCCGGATAGCCCCGATCCGACATCATGAAATACTGTACTGGATAACCAGCTACGGCCTCCTAAACGCTAACGCCGAAGCTGCAAACTAGTTAATGTTGGGACCTTCATAGTTAGAATAGGGTTGTGGCCTCTTTTAAAGCATTATTATCATAAGTAACCCTAACAATACTATTGGTAGTGATTTCGGCTTCTATCTTACCCCTAAACCCTAAACCCAAACAGCCCCCCAGACCCCGAACGCCGCAAACTGCCAACTAGCCACAGTCTCCCAGACCTCAGCTGCAAACTCTCCTCTGATTCCTCACAACTAGCCTGTACAAAACCAAGTTCGCAGCCCGAAAGTAGCCCTTATAGAACCCTTCCTGCGGCCCAAGCGACCTACCTTTATAAGGAGCAATGAATATAAGCCGTACTAGGGTTCCCTAAAGAGGTAGCAGGTTATGGTAGCCCTTAAGGGAACCCCTGTAAAGGCCTCAGCCGTGATACCAGACTTCAAGGCCCCACCATAGAAGAGCGAAGAGCAGAAGCCAGCGATGCAAGGATGACACCTGCCCACCGAACGAGGGCTTCTGGGTTTAGGGTTTAGCCCGAAACCGAACGGGGGCTTTGGGGTTTAGCTTTCTTGGGGGGGTTGGGGGTTTAGCCCTAAACCGAAATGGTTTTGGGGGTCGAGTTTCTGGGTATTTGGGGGATGGGGCGGTACTGGTAGAAGCCCTCAACCGAAACAGGGGTGTTGGAGCTTAGGCTTTCGGGACTTGGTTTTTGGGTTTTGAGCTTTCGGTATCTGTTTTTTTTTTTTGGGGGGGGGTCTAGGGTAGAGGGATTTCGGGTGTAGTGTTCAGGGTAGAGGGTGGTTAAAGGGGCTCAGTCTGTCGCGCTTTTTTGTTTTTTACCTTTTCGAGCTTGGGCTGAGGGGCTAACCATCAAAGCACTATCAGCGCGCCTGTTGAATCTAAAGAACCCCGATAAGATCATCTAGCATCCTCTAAGCCCCGTACAACCCCCTTGCTGCATAGCCCCCTAGCCCCGAAACTCTAAACCCTAAAG